CCCCCCCACCACCACCATTCTTTTTAACATTATCTATAGCGTTTCTAATGGTTCTTTCTTACCTGACTGACATCTTTACCTGCTGAACCCCTGCTAATATCCTGCATACAAGTTGGACACACACATAAACATACACCACGCACAAACAGATGAAGAATATTTTTACATCTTTTTTTTCGTAAAATGGTATCTTTCTTTTTTTCTTTCTTTTTTTTTCTTTTTCATCGCGATGACTAATATTTCGTATGAATTTTATTTATTTTCTTCCAATTCGTTTGAGAGATCAATAAAGCGAAAAAATATAATAATCGATTGGTAATACGGATCTTAACGTTTGTTACATTTATTCTTATGATAATAATAATAATAATAATAATAATAAGAAGAAGAAGAAGAAAAATGACAATACGAATTCATAGAAAATAAATATTTATATATCTTTATAACCTATCGTTTTTACTAGGAATGCATGAATAATGGTCGAAAAGGTTTCCACTGAATATGTATACCGGTTTAAGAATTTCTGACCTGCTTGAAAAAGATTTAACGATCGATAGATAACTTTCGTTTTTAGGGAGTATCTTTTCTTCCATCCTCCCCGCGACCCCCCTTCCCATCCTATAATCGCAAATCTGAATATTTTCTAAAAGAACTATAATACATCAATTTGAATCGTTTAAAATATAAATGAAGCTTTTAAACAAGAAATACTTAAAAAGAACAAAAAAAAAAAAAAAAAAAAAAAAAAAAAAAGAAATCAAATTAAACAAGTGAATCAACACGTCCCATGATAAAATAAAAAATATTAAACGTTAAGGAGCGTTGGTTGCTTCGTGACAATGAGTATCGACGCGAGACGAGATACAAATGACGTTACAACGAGAGCACGGAGAAAACCGGCAGGAAGAGAAGGACTACTACGGATGGAAGAACACCATGGAAGTGGAAGAGGACGACTACGACGTCTACGACGACGACTACGACGAAGACTGAGGAACACTTCTTTGGAGAGGGAGACGAATGAAAAGAAAAAGCAAGAAGAAAGGTGTGCACTTGACCAGGGTCAAAGAGAGAGTCCATTGGATTCTCTTATGCACGAATGACTTATATACATTCCCTTCTTCTCCCCGTGCCTCTCTCTCTATCTCTCTCTCTCTCTCTATCTCTGACACATCTGTTTCTCCCTCTTATTCTTCTATTTCCAACCTTCCCCCTTTTTTTTTGTTTCTTTCTCTCTCTTTC